CCAACCCTCCTGCAAGAAGAGATTGGGACAGTGTTACCTCCAGCTCACCACAGGGCTGGCCTTTTGCGCCCAGGTGCTTTTGGGACCAGACCCTCCCAGGAGGCTTTTGCGGATCCCCAGCATCCCAAATCCTCACCACGGTCCAAGTAGCATCCTGGGGATGCACAACCCCTCTGCACCACCTGGCTCCTTCCCCCAGGTCCTGGTGAACCCCCAGTCACCATCACCCTCCCTCTCTGACAGGACCTGGTGAACCCCTGGTCACCATCGCCCTCCGTCTCTATTGGGTCCTGGTGAACCCCCGGTCACCATCGCCCTCCCTCTCCGCTAAACCATCGCCCTCCGCCTCCGCTAACCCGAGCTGCTCGCTGCCCATGCTGCAGGTCTGCAAGTTCCAGGCGAGCGTGAAATCCTTTCTAAACTTGGTAACTCTCTCGCTGGCGGCTTTGAAGCTTGTTTTCCAGCCGGCGTGGGCCCTGCTCTCCCTTCTTAAGGAGCAAGGCAGGGGAGGGAAGCACGGCGGCTCGCCGAATCGCTCCTATTACTTGCCGGAGTTGTGTAAGCCCTTTGGAATTTGCTTTGAAAAACTATCTGTGAGGGAGCTGCTGACGCTTCCCTCCCCACAACCTGCTCCAGCGCAGCCCTACGGAGGGGTGAAGGCAGCCCCAGGGGGAACCCCAACCACCCCATGGACTGGGAACCCCGACCACCCCATGGACTGGATCAGGGGTAGGACGGACTGGAGCATCCTGCTTTGAGGGCAAAAGCATCCTGCTTTGGGTGCTGCTTGGCTTCCCTGGCTCGTGTCAGGTATCTGGGGCTTTGAACTGGCCCCCATAGCAGCACAGAGAGCTCGCACTGGGGGCTGTGCTGGGTGGTACTGGGGGGATGCGCGGTCATCACCCAGCAATGGTTTGCGATGCTGCCTTTCAAGGGGAACCCCTTCATTTGAACTGCAACGCTGAACTGGGCTGAAAATCACCCGTAAGCAGCAGGAGCAGCTCCAGGATGGTCTGCAGAGAGCACAGGAGCTTAGAGGCCGGGAATTGCAACTGGGGCTTCCTGGAGACCCTCCCCAAAAGGGGCTCTGGAAACCTTCCCTCTTCCAGAGCTGGTTTTCGGGGTGGGACAGACTCCTGAAGACACCATGGGGGCAGCACGATTTTCAGCTGGCGAGGGGCAGAAACAGCCCTCCCAGAGGTGCAGCCCTCCCCAAAACTGCACCCCAGCTTTCCAGGCAAACCCTGCAGCTCCTGCTGTGCTCTGCTCTCGGGGTTTATTTAAAGCCAAGCAGAGAAACACGGCACACGACCACCTACAGAGCCATCTCTGCCCTCTTCACCCTCCCTGCCAGGCTCCCCTGGCCCCGGCTCAGGTATTTGCAAGTCCTGGAGCCGGTCCCACAGCCTCCCAAGCATCCCGGCTGCAGGGGGGGTGTATTTCTCCTCACTTCCCCTGCGGAGCAATAAGGCGATGCTCGTCGGTCGTCCTTTCCCGTTAATGACACTTTGAGCATTTCCTTTGGGGTTATTAAGGGAAAAGGGAGGAAGTCAGTCGGGTGACAAGGTAACCGACTCCTGTCCAAAAAAAAACAAAGACGGAGCCAACAGGCAGCTATTAGCTGTAATTGGTACTTAACAGAAGTATTAAACCAGTGGGATAGTAGGGATTTATTTAAAGATGCGATTTAAGTCATATGGCATGAGCCATTTGAAAACAGCAGTGACCTTGGATAGCAGCTAATTCCCTTCTCAGATGCGCTGCTGGCACAAAGAGGCACAAACATCGACAGCTGTGGGCCTGGCCCCCCGGCTGCTCTGGGTGCTGCCAATGCGCCTGTACCCGGAGAGCCCGTCCCGCTGCTCTCGTGAGCTGCAATGAGTTTCTGGCATGCAGGGAGCCCACCCGTGCCAGGCAGTGGGGTCCAGGCACGTTCTGGGCACGGTGAAGTAGGAGAGATCAGGGAGAAGCAGAAAAGAGCCCGTGCTTGGAGCTTTATGGAATCATAAAGTGGTTTTGGTTGGAAAAGACCTTTAAGATTATCGAGTCCAGCCATCAAACCAGCCCTAAATCCACCACTAAACCGTGTCCCTAAGCACGACATCTCATCTTTTAAACCCCTCCAGGGAAGGGGACTCCACCACCTCCCTGGGCAGCCCCTTCCAGTGCTTGACAGCCCTTCCAGTGAATAAATTCCTCCAAATATCCAACCTAAACCTCCCCTGGTGCAACTTGAGGCCATTGCATCCCATAAGCTGACTTGTGCCAAGACGAAATGCTTCTCTGCATGGGTCTCTGGTAGGAAGGGATGAGGCTCCCATGTGGCTCCAGGATGTTGGAGACCCTCAGGGGGTTTGTTGGGTGTCTGAGCTACCAAAGCCAGCAAAGAGGAGAGGAGGAGTTGCAGCTGGGAAGACAAAAAGCAGGAGGTTTAACTCTGGGAAGAGAGGACACAGAGCTGAGTTGCATCCCTATGCGTGGTGGCGAGAAGCACCACAGACCTGGGGAGTCCCACATGGGATCCAGGCAGGCCAAGAGCTCCAAGAGAGCAAAGGGAGGGACGTGTTGGTGGCCCCACAGGGTGGGTGGCTGAAGTGATGACTGGTGTCTCTTGCAAATGGATCAGCAGGACCCAAACAGTTGGAGGTGACCCTGAGAGCATCAAAGCCCAGGGAGGAGTGAGGAGGAGCATCTCCAGGAGATGGTGGGGTTGGCATCTCCCACAGCTGCGTCATGACAGGAGTCCCATGACATGCTCAACAAAGGGGTCTTCTCCATGGCCATGACCGGTCACTGCGGGGACAATGTTGGTGCCGGACATCAGCATTGGCGTTTGCTTTTGTCCCCTCCAGGTGCTGAACCTGTTCTTGGCTCTGCTGCTGAGCTCCTTCAGCGCCGACAGCCTGGCGGCGTCCGACGATGACGGAGAGATGAACAACTTGCAGATCGCCATCGGCAGGATCACCAGGGGGATCGACTTCGTAAAGGCCTCTGTCCTGATGCTGCTCCGCAGGCTGTGGAAGGGGAAGAAGGTGGCCCCGGAGGAAGAGCAGGAGCCCAATAAGAGGGAGAACTCTGTGCTAAACCACGTGGACACGGGCCAGGAGCTCAAGTTGGAGTACCTGGACAGAGTCACTGGCAAAGAGCACTTCTTCATGGATGAACTGGACCACATGAACTTCATTAACAACCCCAACCTGACGGTGCAGGTCCCCATTGCCTCGGAGGAGTCTGACCTCTACGAGGAGACCAGCACCCAGTCTGACACCGAAGATGCCAAGGTAAGAAAGGCAGTTGGAAGGGTTTCAACCCAAAACTGGCCCGTTCTTGCTGTGCTGCCCCAAGATTGCCGCTGGTTTGGGTTACTTCTAACTTGTCCACCATATGTGACTTGGGGTTTTTCAACCTGGTGTTTCCCAGTTTAAGCTGGAGGTGGGGGTGGTCCAAGCAGGGGTTTGCCCTGTTGTGGGTCAGGCTATGGGGTTATTGCTAATGCCAGGGGGACCCAGTGCACCTCAGGGTTGGTGCAAGAGGCAAAGTGCTCAGTTTGGGGTTAAAGATGTCTGAGAGGAATTTGATGCCAGGAAATCTGCTGATAGCGCTAACATTGGATCCACTGCTAATGCCTCGGAGAGCATCATCGGGGAGGAGATGAAACCAGATGGAGGAGCTTAGCACAAGTCAACATGAGGCAAAGCGATGCATTTTGGATCCAAAGGTGATGAGACAGCTGATGTCGGCATTGCTATGTCGAGAGGTGGAGGGGGCTGTCAGGGCTCGTGGGACACCGATTGCCCTGCTGCTCTGGGGAGGTGACAGAGATGCGAGACGAGAAACTTGGGAAGATGCGAGTGGGCACAGCATGGAGGGTGATACCTGCTGGGAAATTACTGCTCGTGGTGTGGTTACTCCAAGGTCCTGGGGAAATGCAGGGCAGTGGGGATGCTACGGTGCAAAGGAGCAACTGCATCAATCTGGAGAGTGGTTTGGATGAATAACAGAACAGCTCTGATCTGGCCTGGGGAAATGCAGGGCAGTGGGGATGCTACAGTGCAAAGGAGCAACTGCATCAGTCTGCAGAGGAACAGAACAGCCCTGATCCAAGGTTTTATCACCACTATTTTTATTTTTCAGTTGGGAAAACAGGGTGTTTTCAGCAACTGGGGAGATGCAGGAGGGGTTGTGGCTGGCTGTGAACCATGGCAAACTCACTGCTTGCTGTGCTCAGAAGGGACAAACCTACCTGGAGCACCTTGGTCAAGGGAAGAGGGACGAGGGGAGTTGCTGTTGCCATTCCCCTTAATGTTGTCAGCAGGAGGGCTGGCAGTTGGCACTTTTCCCCAAATTTTTGCTGCTACAAGTCCAGCCCAGCAGTACTAATCCCAATTAGACCCAGCCCACGCTGACCGTACCATCGCGCTGCACAGAGGTGATGCTAAGGCCACCATGAGGGGACACATCCAGCCTGGTCCATGGGGTTCACACAGATCTCAGCTCCCCACCACCGTGATGCACTTCCCATTGGAAAGGAGAAAACCTCAGCACTTGGCTATCGGCTCCAGCGTCATGAGGCTGTGTTCAGCTGACATCTAGTGGCACCCGCTCCTGCACCCAGCTTGCATCTTGGGAGCCATCCCTGGCTGCTCAACACGCTCAGGGGGCCAAACAGCACCTCTCAACCACTAAATACCAGTTCACCCCATCATCACCACTGGATTTGGCAGCTAATTTCACTCCAATGTTGACCAAGGTGCATGCCAAGGCGGATGATGCATTAACAACCCGGACAGACAGGGTGGGCTGGCTGCCATCATGAGAAACGATTGCCTAGTAATTAGAAGTCAGCTGCTAATTAGTGGGAGCCCTGAGCTGGTCCTTGGGGATGGTTGCTGCCAGCTCAGTGTATTCACATGCTACTGATCAGCTCCAGATGGAGCCAAAGCCCGGCGCACCGCCGCACACCGAGGACGCTGGCCGCTGCTGACAATTGCAAACTGGTGTTTTATTCCAGATCGGCTGCTCAGAAAATGCTGATAAATGCTCTCCCCCTTCCAGAGCAGCTCCTTTCCAAGGCAGAGATATTTTGGGGGGTGAAACGGTAGTGTCAGGGCTCTCCTAGAGCACTTTTGCACCGTACGGTTGGTTTCTCTTTTGCACCACAAAGCAATGAGGAGGTGGCAGCAGCAGCAGCAGTGCTGGTTTGCTACGGCTGTGCGAGGACTTGGTGCTGTGGCTCAGGGACTTCCTGGGGGCTTTTGGCCCCAGACCCCCCTCCTGCCAGGCAGGGGGATGTCTCCTGAGATGCTCTGGGCTGTGGTGCATCACAGGAGCGTCGCCAAGGGCTGCGAATTATGGGGGGGCGGTTGCAGGGTGACTCTGGATGTGATACTGGTGCTGGTCAGGGTGGGGAAAGCCCTGGATTTGGGTGCAGACACCAGGTGTGTGACGGAAATTGTCCTGCAAACCTGCTGGTCGTGGAGGATCAAGAGCCCCCAGGGATGGGGTTTGGGTGACCGTGCAGTGGGGCAGCACCGTTATCCCTGTTGTCCCCCTCAGAAGGACCTGTCCTGGACACCTTTCCCACAGTCTCCAGGCCCACTGTGCTGGTTCATCCCCACCTCGTGCCCTTGCAGGACTTGTCCTGGAGGCAGACGGTTTCCATGTGCCCTTCCCCAGGGTCACAGCTTGCCTGGCTCCATGCCGAGGCCTCCTAATCCCTCTCCTGTCACCCCCCCCGAGCCCCTAAAGAGGGTGGCCCAATGTCCCTGCAGAGCCAACAGCTCATGTCACCGCTGTGTCCTGCTCCTCAAGGCAATGCCCTGCACATACCCCATAGCCACACTGCAAGAGTCCCCCAAAGCAACGTCTTCTCCTAGAGACTTGGCCCCTGAAGCTGCAGGTGCCTCAGATCACCCCAGGGGGTCTTTTGTGGCTTGTTGGAGGACAGAGTAGCTGCTCCATTTACTACTGAGAGCACCAGTAGCCTCAGGGGAGGATTATCTCCTTCCCATGCAAGCCAATGCCATCCTGCATAGGAGATGCCCATCCAATATCGTCTGCTGCCAGGTACAATGAGCAGCTCTGGGGTTCTCCTCTGTTCTCAAGTGTGCAGAAGATCTTCTCAGAAAGCCAAAAACAAGAGCAAAAACAGAGGGGAAAGCATCCCAGGGGCTTGCCAAGGTTTCCTCTCGTTATCAGCCCCTCCGGGCCCTGCTGAGTGGTGTCTGGGAAGCCAGCCAAGCCGAGGTGCAGAGCGGGATGGAGCCGACGAGAGATGTGTGGGATGCAGGCTTTGAACTGGGCTGGACCTCAGCCTAAAAGCCCTTCGGCACGAGCTGGGCCAGCAGTGCCATGGTGGCCACCCAGGTTTCCATAGGTCTCGTTGTATCAGAGCATGTTTAGCCAAGCATTTCTTGGATCGGGGCATGCAGAGGAGGAGGAGGAGGTGAGAAAAATCAGCCCATGATGATGGTACGAGCACACAGGAGATGGACCTGCAGTGCTGGGAGGAAAACTGGGCTCAGGGGACCTTTCGCTCCCCTGAACCTGGATGAAAAGCAAAGCTTGTGCGAACTCACATACCAATGATCCTCTAAGGTTTGCAGCCCTGGGCAATCCAGCAGGTTCAATCTGGGCTGTGTTTTCATAGGAAAGGGTTTGCAGCCCTCAAGCAAGGCATTCCCATCCGCTGGCTTCCCTGGTACTGCAGGGCAGGAGGAGCAGCCCCGGAGCATCCTTTCTACAAGACAGCCAAGCCTAAATCCCCCTCTCTCATTGCAGAACCCCCTGTCCAGCGACAACGCCTCATCCCTGTGCAGCACGGTGGACTACAAGCCCCCACTGCCCGTGGAGGAGGAGGTGGCGGAAGAGGCTGAGGAGAGCAAAGAGCCTGAGGAGTGCTTCACCGAAGGTGGGGGACTGGGACCCCCGGGAATGGGGGAGGTGGGTGTGGAAGGGCCATTCCCAAGCAGTTCCTGCAGCCAACAACCCCCGGGCTCACCGAGCCCAGCCCAAACTCCAAATCCTCCTGTACTGCAAAGGAGATGGTCCCCATAGGGCTCCCCACTTGCATGCCCACCTCCAAGCCCAGCAGCTCCTGCTCCAACCTCCACCTGAGAGGAGGAGACAATGAAAATGACAATAAAACTAAATAATAATAAAAAAATAAATGTCAATAAAACCATAACTGGTGCCTTGTCGGTGGAAACGTCCCGGCCAGGGTGTAATCCACAGCATCTTGTCCCATCCGCAGGCTGCGTGAAGAGGTTCCCCTGCCTCTACGTGGACATCACCAGCGACAGAGGCAAGGTGTGGTGGAACGTCCGGAAAACCTGCTTCTGCATCGTGGAGCACGACTGGTTCGAGACCTTCATCGTCTTCATGATCCTCCTCAGCAGCGGGGCGCTGGTAGGTCCCACCTTTCGCCCTATCCCGTTTGCTCTGCTCCCCTGCTCGGTGGGAGCCCAGGATGCAGGCAGGGCCCAGGCAGCAGCTCTGGGCATGGCCTGGCTGTCTCCTGTGCCATATAACACAGCTGTGGGCAGATGTTTGATTCAAAACCCCATTTGGGTCATGTCTGCCCAATGGGCAGCCTCACAGGGGGACCTAAACATCCTCCAAGAGCCCTGCATCCATACAGTCACCCCCTACAACCCTTCCCAGCCTCCATCATGGGCTGTGGTCCATGGGCTCATGGAGATGCAGCCCCCTACAACCTCCCCTCCTGCTCCTGATGTCAACCATGGACTTTCTGCACCATCTATGCAGCTTTATGTGGATGGCTCATTTCACTGCCTCCATGTCTGGCTCTCGGGAGGTGCTTTCTGAACAATTCATGGTTGTTATTTTGCTGCTGACTGGTGCACCCTCCCAAAAATTCCACTTAAATCCACCTCATTAAAATCCGTGTGTCAGCCCATCGGTCCTCTCTGAGTATTTGGGCTGGTTATAGCTCAGCTGCACCTGTAAATACACAGAGCTAAGGGGGAGACCAACTTCTCCACAAGCATGGTGGTTAAAGAGAGAGGGAAGGAGGACAGAGGGACTGAACCAGACACAGTTTGGGTGTCTACATCATCGAGTGCAGTTTGGGGATGGCTGAGGTCGTAGCTGGAACCAAAAGCTGAGCTAAAACAGCTGTGCAACACCTGGTCACCATGCTTGTGCCTCTGATCATCTTTGGTTTACATGCCATGAGGATGTATCAGTAACCCCAAGTGCTCCTAAGCGCATTTTCAGCTACCAGGGCATCTAAAGGTGAGGGCTGGTGTCCTGGCTTTTGGCTTTGGGACAAACACCGCTCCACACAGCCAACAAGAACTTGCAGACAAGAGTTAGACCCCGCGTTGACCAGGTACATCAGGAGATGCCACTGTCGATAAGTTCTCAACTTCTCAAGCTGCCCTAGGAAGCAGGGGCGGTGCAGATGTGGATGTGGCTGCACCGAGCCGTGCAGCGGGTCCAATGGAAGAATGACTGTCACGTAGCTCCGCACCTCTTCCAGGCTTTTGAGGACATCTACATCGAACAGCGGAAGGTGATACGCACCATCCTGGAGTACGCCGACAAGGTCTTCTCCTATATCTTCGTCATCGAGATGCTGCTCAAGTGGGTGGCCTATGGCTTCAAGGTGTACTTCACCAACGCGTGGTGCTGGCTGGATTTCCTTATCGTCGATGTAAGTGGTGGTGTCTGATGGGCGCCTCTAGAGTCACAGTTAGCCAAGGGATCTGGGAGCATTAAGGGTTTGTAGCAGGCTGCTGGAAATTAAACCATGCTTGTATTTTAAAGGGCAGTGGGGTGGCTGTGGAATGAGGCTCAGAACATCACCTAAAATAATGGTATTTAAAGGGCAGTGGGGTGGCTGTGGAATGAGACTCAGAACATCACCTAAAATAACGGTGCTCCACAGCAAGGGCCACTTCTTTCCCCAGTTGAAGAAACCTTTCCAAATCCTTTCTATGTTTTATGCTCAAGCCAAGAACAAGCCCATGCTGTTCTACTAAACCCTAATAGAGATGTAAACGGTCTTCCAGATTCTCTGTGACACAGCACGTCACATCTGTGCAGTGTCTGTGCCTCCTCTATCACCTCCACCCTCACACCCGAGAGGCAGGGCCATGCTCCAGTGACCCAAGGTTTCAATGCCGGTCCCTGTGTCCCAAGACAGGAGAATGACCACCAGCCTGAGAGGACACCGAGCAGAGCAGGAGCTGCAGGGACACCAGGCAAAAAAGGATCTGGGGGTGTTGGTGGCAGCGATGCTCATGAGCCAGCAATGTGCCCTTGAGCCAAGAAGGCCAACGCCAGCCTGGGCTGGATGAGAAGGGGTGGTTGTAGGGCAGAGAGGTTCTCCTGCCCCTCTGCTCTGCCCTGCCCTGCTCACACCACAGCTGCAATCTTGTGTCCAGTGCTGGGCCCTCAGCTCCAGAAGGACAGGAACTGCTTGAAAGAGTCCAGCAGGGCCACAAAGATGATGGGGGGAGTGGAGCATCTCCTGCTGAGGAGCGGCTGAGGGAGCTGGGGCTCTGGAGCTTGGAGCAGAGGAGACTGAGGGGTGCCCTCATTCCTGGGGATCCATTGGGAAAGGGCAGTGTCAGGAGGAAGGAGCCAGGCTCTGCTCTGGGATGGCCAATGCCAGGACAAGGGGCAATGGTCCCAAGCTGGAGCACAGGAGGTTCAAGCTGAAGATGAGGACAAACTTTGTGAGTGTGAGGGTTCTGGAGCATGGCCCAGGCTGCCCAGAGAGGTTGTGGAGTCTCCTTGTGTGGAGACACCCAAAGCCCTGGCCGTGTTCCTGTGTGACTGCTCTGGTGACCCTGCTCTGGCAGGGGTTGCACTGGGGGAGCTTTCCAGGGCCCTTCCAACTTCAACCTTCAACAGTTGTGTTTCCACCTGAAATGCTGCTAACCCCTTGGGCTGCTCCTTGCAGGTTTCCATTATCAGCCTGACCGCGAACTGGCTGGGATACTCCGAGCTGGGAGCCATCAAATCCCTGCGGACACTGAGGGCTCTGAGGCCGCTGCGCGCCCTGTCCAGATTTGAAGGCATGAGGGTAGGTGACTCCCCCATGTGCTGCTGCTTCTGATATGAATCTGGCACCATTCAGCAGCCACCTACATCAGGGACTCATCCAAATTGGTTTTCAGGGGCCCCCAGATCAGTGGGGTCAATGCTAAGGTACCTCTGGGCCCACTTGGTGCTGCTGGGGAGGGTAAGGGTACGACACAGGAACATGAAGGTCCATATTGTTGCTTGCCTGGTTCCCTCCCCAGGTCCTCCAAGGTCTTTTCCCCCCTTGCAGGTGGTGGTGAACGCCTTGCTGGGCGCCATCCCCTCCATCATGAACGTCCTGCTGGTCTGCCTCATCTTCTGGCTGATCTTCAGCATCATGGGGGTGAACCTCTTTGCGGGGAAGTACTACCGCTGCGTCAACACCACCACCGGGGAGCTCTTCGACATCAGCGTGGTGAACAACAAGAGCGACTGCATGGCCCTGCTCCACACCAACGAGGTCAGATGGGTCAACGTCAAGGTCAACTTCGACAACGTGGGCTTGGGATACCTCTCCTTGCTGCAGGTGGTACGTAACGAAGGCGGCTGCTGTCCTTCCAAGACGGGCATTGCCATTAGCAGGGCAGCGTGGTTAGCATCAGAGCTGCCCTGATGCCCAGACGGGGCCTCTTGGCTGCTTCTTAGCTCCAAAATTGGCATTTAACATGCGAAACATGCGCAGAGCCGTGGATAAAAGGGACAGGGTTAGGAGATGGGAGGGGAAGGTGCCACCAGGAAAGGGCTGCAAATGAGTGGAGGTAGCACCGAGCTGTGAGAAATCCTCTGCACAGCTCAGGATGCAGAAGCGAGGAGGGGAGGCTCCCCCTTTCCCCTCACCCATTGGAAAAGTTTGCTCTGCTGCAGTCATGGGCTGCGAGAGTTTTGCATGGGGAGGATGACGGCTGGAAAAAGCTCGCGTGTGTGTGTGCTGCAGGGCGGTGGGCGAGCGCAGCCGCGCTTCCACCGAAGGCAGAAAGGGAACTGCTCACCGCAGCCTTAATAAAAACACAGGTGTGGGCTGGGGTTACTCCCATCAGATCCAGCTGCAGAACCGGAGCAGAACCCAAATTGGAGTGACCAGCTCTAAAATTCAGCTTCCTCTTCAGGTTGTTTGTTCCATCAGATTCAGGAAACAAGAAGTTCAGGCTTTTTGTTTAACAAATCAGCAGCAAAAGGCTGTAGAAGATGCAGGGTGCCCCCCTCAGCCCCCCAGGGTCAGGATCCAGCAGACGGCAGAGGTGGCACAGGTGGGGAGCAGGAGGAGCCAGCTCCGGCACCGCTCTGCGGTTGGGAAAATGCACCTCGTATTTGGGGAGGAATGAGTCCATTGCTTCTTTTCCCAGCAGTGTTTTTGGGAAGTCCCTGGTAACCCCAGAGCTTGTGTGTGAGCACATCTGCACGTGCAAATCTCAGTATTTCTGCACTGGGGCTTTTTTCTTATGGATTCAACCCAGTCCCTCTCTTGCCATTCCCATGGAGATGCTGTAACTCCAGGCTGAGCAAGCAAGCTCAGAGCTAAACCCCCAAAGCAAATCCCAAACGCGCACCCATCTCCCTCCCTCCCTTGCCCCAAATACTTCCCAGCACATCTGTTCTCTGTTGTCCCTGCAGGCGACCTTCAAAGGCTGGATGGACATCATGTACGCTGCCGTGGACTCTCGCGAGGTGAGGGGACGAGCAGGGGGTGTCTCACAACTGAGCATAGCTCATCCCTCCAGGTCCTGGGGCTCTGGGAACGGACCCCTTGGCTGCAGCATCCCCACTCTGCCTCTGCCCATTGGTGCTGGGTGGTTGTTTTTAAGAGTTTCATGCAGACATCCATCCCAAAAAGTGTCCCCACGCCAGCCCACACTGCCATGAGAGGGGCAGCAGAAGGGGCTTCCTACCTTTCTCTAACCAAGCAAACATGCCCATGCCCCGCTGTGGGGGTCAGCCTCACACCCACGGCCCTGAACATTTTGTTTTCGTTGCCTTTTTTTAGCACCAGAAACAGCCACCCTGCTCGCCCTGGCTGCAGCTGCTGGTGCTGGGTGCAGGAGCTGCTTCCAGCTCCCCATGAACACAGCTTGGGCCACTGCATCCCCTTGGGATGTCTCCAGTCAAGTGTAAAGCAGAATTAAGCAATGCCCCTTGAGACAAGCAGTGTTTTCCAAGGCTGCCAGGCTGTGTCACCTCATGTGCTGGCCATAGCACAAGTTAAACCTCTTTTTCTTCCCACCTTGGCTGTATTTCAGTCCTTGGAAAGCTGATTATTGGGGAGAAATTCAAGTTAACTCATTGATATCGCTGCATCTGGGCATCCTTTACCACTCCCCAGCCCATGCTGTGAGGTTGGGTGTCAGCACATCCTTGTCCCCCTACGTCCCCTGGATATCCCTTCCCGTGGCTGCTCCCACAGGGACCACTGAACTCCCAAAGGTTATGGAGCAGCCTCCTAATGGCTTTGCCCAGTGAACCCCTGTCCCAGGGTCATTAGGCCTGGGGACACGCTTTCCAGTCCCACATTTTCCATCTCTACTGGTCAGATTGAAGAGCAGCCAGTGTACGAGATCAACCTCTACATGTACATCTACTTTGTCATCTTCATCATCTTCGGTGCCTTCTTCACCCTGAACCTCTTCATTGGTGTCATCATCGACAACTTCAACCAGCAGAAGAAAAAGATAAGTATTTCTGGGATCCTGCAGCTGCTGCAGCCTCCTGGGGTGCTGGTCCAGGACAGAGGCGACCAGGGCCACCATGGCCAGGGCTCAAACAGACCCCAGGGCTCCTCTGCAGCCTGAGTTGCTGTTATTGATTACTGACTTCCTGCAAAGTGAACAAGGAGAGCTGGGCAAACAGCGCATGGGGTTTTGTGTCCTGGCTATGGCATTTATATCACAGAGTCACAGAATGTGAGGAGTGGGAAGGGCCCTGGAAAGCTCCCCCAGTGCAACTCCCCCGGACCAGGATCACCAGAGCAGTCACACAGGAACACGGCCAGGGCTTTGGGTGTCTCCACACAAGGAGACTCCACAACCTCTCTGGGCAGCCTGGGCCATGCTCCAGAACCCTCACACTCACAAAGTTTGTCCTCATCTTCAGCTTGAACCTCCTGTGCTCCAGCTTGGGACCATTGCCCCTTGTCCTGGCATTGGCCATCCCAGAGCAGAGCCTGGCTCCTTCCTCCTGACACTGCCCTTTCCCAATGGATCCCCAGGAATGAGGGCACCCCTCAGGCTCCTCTGCTCCAAGCTCAAGAGCCCCAGCTCCCTCAGCCGCTCCTCAGCAGGAGATGCTCCACTCCCTCCAGCATCTTTATAGAGGATTTCTTGACGGATGCAGAGGCAGGAGGCAAGGAGGGGCTGCCATTGCTCCTGCCCATGCCACAGCAGGCACGGCTGTACGCCTGTGCCCTCACTTTTCTTTTCTTTTCCCACCCCATGGCCCTTTCTCATCATTTTCCCATGCATCAAGGAGAGACTCAACTTCTCCTTTCAAGCGAGCAGTATGGGACTGACACCCCATGGCTGCCAGAGCGGGTGGAGGGTGGGCAACCACAGCACTGGGGTGAGCACCCATGGGTGCTGCGAATTGAGGGAGGCACAGAAGGGCAAGTAGGGGGAAGCAGGTTTCACTGTGGCAGTGCAGTGAGCACCGACTGGTAGGAGCTTGGCTGGAGATGCTTGGTAAAGATGAGCTCCCAAGACTAACAGCGTTGATTCCCTTTATACTTTGGAGGCAAAGATATCTTCATGACAGAAGAGCAGAAGAAATACTACAACGCCATGAAGAAGCTCGGCTCCAAGAAACCCCAGAAGCCCATCCCCAGGCCATCGGTAAGTTGGATTAATGGCCCTGGAGGGCAGCAGGGAGGGAGCACTTCAAGCCATCGACTGTCCCAAAGCGAATGGGAAGGATTTGGGGATCACAGAGACAAATCCTGGGTCCCCATTGCTGCTCTATCAGACAGGACCTCGCTAAGAGCTGGGGCGTCAGGAGAGGTTCACATCAGCACTGGTGGATCTGCTCTTCAGCTCTGGCAAGGGCAAGGGGGGTCCCTTTGCAGGGATGAGGGTTTTCTCCTATTTTAGCTCCTGGGTCTTCTCTCAAAGGGAGTCAGACTCAGGGAAAGCTCAGGTTTACACACTCCTGGAGAAGGGGCTTTGCCAATACGTACGCAGTGGTGACTTTGGTTTGGACAGCCCTGTTCAAACGAAGCCTTCCCCACGTGTTTATTTTTGCTCTGATGCAATGACTCTGGGTGTATTTAGAAAGCAACTGTCCCCTGCACCCACACCTCCCAGCCATGGTGTTACCAAGTGGGTTTTGTCCTGCAAGGTGCTGGGTATCCTCCCCCATAGCTTTTGGGGCCATGAGACCTCTATGCTGGCCCCAAACCTGAGTTTTCCTGCACTCTTTTAAATACGGTTCATCCTCCTCATTCTGTTGTGTCTCTGGTTTTTGTGTGTCTGTCCCATGTTCCCACCTCCCCTCTGGTTCTCCATCACCCACGGGGCCCTCATGGCAGAACAAGGTTCAAGGGAAGGTGTTCGACTTTGTCACCAAGCAAGTGTTTGACATAACCATCATGATCCTGATTTGCCTTAACATGGTGACCATGATGGTGGAAACGGACGATCAAAGCGAACTCAAAACCTCTGTCCTCTACAAGATCAACCTGGTCTTCATCGTCGTCTTCACGGGAGAGTGCGTGCTCAAAATGTTCGCCTTGCGCTACTACTACTTCACCGTCGGCTGGAACATCTTCGACTTTGTGGTGGTCATCCTCTCCATCCTAGGTGAGTTCTCCTGCTTGCACCGGTTTGCCAGGGGTGGAAATGGTCTGGTCGATCCACACTGCCACCTTTACACCACCCTTCAAGCAGAGCCCAGCTGGGACAGAGCAGATGTGAGGCCACCCCATAGCACCAGGCAGGATGAGGGGCAGGGATTCAGTCCCACTCCTCCTCGGTGTTGGGCTCCCTTTGCCTCTGTGTTGCGTGGCGACACTGCTGAAACACAGCACCCAGCATTTCACCTTTGGGTCTGTGCTCAGAGGTATTTTTTAATATGTTCCCAAGCAGAGATCTGCTTGCTATTGGAAGTGGCCTCATCTCCCTGTATCTGCTCAACCCTGGCAGATGGAGTCGAGAAGCTCTGTTGATGGGGTCGCAATCACTACAAGAAAACTTATCTATGCAGTTGCAGATAAGCAGGCACTCCTTTATTGCAGCGCTGGGGAGACACAGAGGATAGCTCCTCTAATTGTGCTTCAACGTCCATACATTTTCACAGCCCATTTATACATCTTTAACAAAGCTAAATTACAAAATTATACAAGCATGCATAAAATGTCCACCTTTTAATTTGCCCTTTACCTTGACTGTTTCCTCACTCTCACTACTATTTCATACAAGACATTGAACTACTTCAAAAGCTTACCCCTATATAATTTTGACATGGAGAGAAAAGACAAGTTATGGCCTATTCTTATGGTTGCCTGATCACAGCTATTATCTTTCATGCTATTGTTTAATTCTTATCTTATCACAACTGTTCTTCTCTTGAGCATGGTACGTACCTTCTCCAAGTACTTGTACACATATACCTTGTAGTCTTTTTGTTTAGTTTAAACAAATGCCTATTCTAAGTACTTTAACTACCTTAATCAAAGTTCTTTTAACTCTACAGCTTAAACAAATACCTACTTTAATCAACCAGAATTTTCTCTTGACAGCAACAGCTCCACCTCACCACCCTGTGTTGGCTATAGAGCAAGGCAAACTCACCTCTTCTTCCTCCCTTCACAGGTATCGTCCTCTCGGACATCATAGAGAAGTACTTCGTGTCACCCACCCTCTTCAGGGTCATCAGGTTGGCGAGGATTGGCCGCGTCCTCCGGCTGATCCGAGGGGCCAAAGGCATCCGGACTCTCCTGTTTGCTCTGATGATGTCCCTGCCTGCCCTCTTCAACATCGGCCTCCTGCTTTTCCTCGTCATGTTCATCTACTCCATCTTTGGGATGTCCAACTTTGCCTACGTAAAGAAGGAGGCCGGGATCGATGACATCTTCAACTTTGAAACTTTTGGGAACAGCATCATCTGCCTCTTCCAGATCACCACATCGGCGGGGTGGGATGGCCTCCTCAGCCCGATCCTCAACAGCGGCCCTCCCGACTGCGACCCCGAGCTGGAAAACCCCGGCAGCTCAGTGAAAGGGGACTGTGGCAATCCCTCCATCGGCATCTTCTTCTTCTGCAGCTACATCATCATCTCCTTCCTCATCGTGGTGAACATGTACATCGCCATCATCCTGGAGAACTTCAACGTGGCCACGGAGGAGAGCAGCGAACCCCTCTGCGAAGACGATTTCGAAATGTTTTACGAAACCTGGGAGAAGTTTGACCCGGACGCCACCCAGTTCATTGCGTACAGCACCTTGTCTGACTTTGTAGACACCTTGCAGGAACCGCTCAAAATTCCCAAGCCGAACAAGATCAAGCTCATCACCATGGATCTCCCGATGGTCGCTGGGGACAAAATCCACTGCCTGGATATCCTCTTTGCGCTGACTAAGGAAGTGCTGGGAGACTCGGGAGAGATGGACGCCTTGAAAGCCACCATGGAGGAGAAGTTCATGGCCGCGAACCCCTCCAAGGTTTCCTACGAGCCCATCACCACCACTTTGAAAAGGAAACACGAGGAAGTCTGTGCCACAAAGATCCAGAGGGCTTTCCGGAGGTACCTCCTGCGGCGCTCGGTGAAGCAGGCGTCCTACATGTACCGGCACAGCAAGGACGAGGACGAGCCCGAGAAGGAAGGTCTGATCGCCACCAAAATGCACGAGATGTACGGGAACGGTGGGACAGATGTGGAGACGGGCCCTGCCTTCAGCCTTGCACCCATTCCCAGCCCAGAGACTCCAGATGCTCCTGGCGAAGCAAAAGCGAGGGATAAGGAACGCGTGGTGAAGGAGTCGCTGGTATAACAGAAAGAGGCTTCCACCTCTTGCCCAGCCTGAAAAGGCTCCATCTGTGTCTCCTTTTCAAGAGCTCTTCCACATACAGATCAATAGATCTTAGATAATTGAGCTAATTTCAGATATTTCGAGTAGACACTTTAACTTTCAAAGCAGGATCTCTTACTGATCTTGGTTTTTACAGCTCACTGCACTTGCAAAGAATTTACTATTTTTCTTATGAGAATTCAATGTGAAATCTATCTATTGTTGGTGAAAGAGAAACATTTTTAGTTTTGAAATGATCTCATCACGGTCATGATGTATTTCAGACATTAACAAACGAGTATGGCTGTCCTGTTACTTAAAGTAATTATTTATTAATGTTATTTCACAATTAAGAGATTTTCTTGTCTAGTCTTCCAGAGTGCAGCCAAGTAGCCAGTGAAAGATGAGCCAAGTGAAATAATATTATGAATAATTACAGAGAAGGCAAGGTTTTGTGAACAAATAACTCCAATGTCTTAAAGTAGCACCTTTCTTTTGAATATTTGAATAAGCTTTATGGATTTATTTTTTTTTGTTATATACGAAGAAAGTGCAATTATGTCTTAACAATTTGTTTGCATAGCCAAAACAAAGCGTCTGCAGATATGTTCTCAGGGTTTAAATATCAGGTTTTAAAGGTCTCCGAATATGCATTGAAACCATAAATCATTCAGGTCTCTGTGGTACGAATGTAAACAGTATTTACCGTCATGCCACCTTCTCTGTTTTCCCCGTTTCACCCAGATTTTGTGGCAGGAAAGCCATGGGCAAAGGTAGGGTTTGGCAAACCCCCTCTGCGAGCCAGAACCCTGCAGGATTTCCTCAAGCACTGCAGCAGCGCTCTTCGTTAGCGTTAATTAACGAGACACATCCCTGAGGATTGGAGCAGGGCTTTGCAATGAGCTGCTTCAATGGGGTCCTTTAAACCCCATTGGCAACCAAGCACTGGGGATCTTAATGCCATGGATGCTCCCACTGGGACATGGATCCCAAAATCCTCAGGATCAGCTGGGGCCCCGGAGAGGACCTGGTGGCCGTGTCAGGGTGTCTGCAGAGCCTGAGGGGGTCAGGCAGGTCCTCACCAGGAAACCTGGCAGCAGAGGAGGGTTTTCCCAGGAAAGGAAGGGTTTTCCTGCTCTTTATGCATGTGGGCAAAGGAAAAATGTCCAAAAAGGCCCAGAGTTCATCTCCGGACCACCTTCTACCTTCAAAAGGGGAAAGAAAAACCCTCTTGAGATCAAAACAAACACGAACCAAAACCTCTTCCAGTTAAAACAAAGGGCTGCTTCTTGAAGCCACAGGTCTGTCTTTTTTTTTATTATTATTATTATAATATATTTTTTTCTTGGGCTGATTTTTGGTGCCGAGCGGTTGCGGATGCCCCACGTTCAGGCTGGCCGGGAGCGGTGCTGAGCTTGCTTGCATCCGTGTGCTGTCGGCCGGGCGGCAGAGCCGAGCTGGCTCTGCTCATCCCGAAGCGTTGTGCTTTCCTCTCCGTGTTGCGCAGGGCGATGCTCCCTGGAAGCGGAGCCTGAGCCGCTTCACGCAGCGCTCGCGCGGGGAGCATCCGTGGCGCGGCGGTTTCCAGCCCGGATTGTGGTTCACAATCGATGCTGCTTGTACGTACGTGTTGTCGTCAATGGAAAAAAAAGATGCCAAAGAGCAGGGTCCGTGTGAGCTAAAGCCATTTTTCTTTGTACATTTCTTAAAATAAACAACTGTAAATCGTCTATTATTATGACACAGAATGTGTGGGTGTGTGTTAGAGGGAGAAATGTTTTCCCAGCCCCTAGGAGGGGTTAAATGCCCCTTCCCTTTGCTCCTTGGTTGGATGCATGGCCTTGGGTAGACCTGCCATCCTCAGCAGGACCTGGTGGTCCCCAGACCCCCTGGCACCTCCAGGCCAGCCCAGACCCCAGAGCTTGCCCCTGGGCAACTTCCCTGGAGTCCTTGGTGCCCCCCAACACCGAGTCCTGACTCCAGGAGCTGCAGGAGATGCTGCTGCAGGTTCAACCAAGGAGCAAGGTGAGCTTGGAGGAAGTGCAGACCCCTTGATCTGCCCCATGCCAGGCTCTGTGGGGTCAAACCAGCCCCACCAGCCCCGCAGGAGCAGTTCAGCATCATGGGGAGAAGGCAGCGGTGGGCGAGGGAGGTTTCTGCGTCAATGTGTGATGGGAGGAGGAGCCACCCCTGGGACCTGCTGATGTCCCCAAGGGCCACGGCGTGGCCTCGCTGCTGCGTTGTCACTGGAACAGCTCGTCCAGAGCTGGCGCAATTCAAGTGGAGCATCGTGGTACCCACGCAGGCTGGAGGGAGGAGGTGGCGTCACCCAGTGTCCCCTGTCCTTCCGCAGCGGGGGAAAGGACAGCGGTGAAACCCAAACCCCGATGAATAGGAATGGGTTTGGGAAGGGTACAGCTGCCCTGCAGTGGCTCTGCCTCAGGACATGGCACAGGAGAAGGGACTTGAGGGCATAGGATATGGGACCCTCCCTGCATCCCATGCCACTGGGTACTGTGAGCACAGGTGGCTTCACAGGGAGGCCAAGCCCCTCTGGAAAGGGTCTGTGCCTGTTTGGGGTGCCAAGGAGCCTGCAGACAGTGGTGCAGGGTAATTTGGCCACCGTCACAGCAAACCCTCGTTAGTTTGTGCCTTGCTCCTGGTTTTGCCCCCAGGTACCTCCAGCATCCCTGCCTCGCTCATCACAGCTCCCATCTCCAATCCCAGGGCTTGATAAAGACCCCTCCAGTGGAGAGGACATCTCTCATCACTTTTTCCTGGCCAGGATGTCACGGCCGGGCTGTGCTTTTCCAGCAAGACCAGAGGTGGTGGCAGCAGGGACTCAGCAACACGGCCCCAGTGCACAGCATCATGCACCACACAACCTGCCTGCTCTACCTGCAGGCACCTTGCCCTTCATGTCCTTCCCTCCTGGGGCCAGGCCTTCTCTGGAGACCTTTATTTCACCTCTTTTCTGCTTCATCTCCCGCCACATACAAGGTGAGACTCAAGCCAGTTCCCAGCAGCCTCCAAATGTTCAGAAATGGCAAAAAAACCTGACCAAACCTGCAGAGAGAGAAGATTTGGGGAGGCCCCAGGAAGAAACACACAGGCTCTGGGGACCAACGTGGCTGGCAAAAGTACCCAGAGGTGTTTTTCATGTGGAATTACAGTTCAGTGCTTGCCCAAAACCGGTGAAAAGCAGCAATGGGAGGACACAGCAGGGAGGGAAACCATATTTCTGCTCAGAGCCAAGGGGGCAGAGCTCCCCTTGGGGCTCACATTGTGCTTCCCCAGGAGAAGGGTCTTACGGCAAAAGGGGTGCTGAAGGAGCAGCTGTGGCTGGTACCAAAAGGGTGAGACCTTGTTCTGGCCATGCCTCTTCTCTTCAGGGTTCACCCTTTCCTGGAAGGGGAGTTGCAGGAACTATTTGGGATGCTGGGGACAGGACCAATCACTCTACAATGAACAGGGAGAAGGAGAAACCCAATAAACATCCCCTCTTCCCACACTGCTACTGCTCTGACTCTTGCAACTGGGCCAGCATCAACCCCTAACCCTAACACTGACCCTAACCCATCACCTGCAGGGCTAAACTGGGAGGATCTGCCCATGCTGCTGTGGGGCTGGGGTACAACCCAGGGGGTAACCTCCATCCTTTACCCCCAGGGATGTGCTGGTGGTCGCATCCTGCTCCCAGTGGGGAGCCCAGCCCAGGTTTCACATCACCAAGTGCTCTGGAAATGGGCTCATCTCCAGCCTTGGTGTGGACCCACACCAGTCATGGTCACCTCCATCAAATAACGCCCCGGTGGCGAGCACGGCCCAAGGACACGCAGGGGGACGGTGCCCAGGGCGCAGGCACGGGCCGGTCCCGGGGCCCCGGGCCCCGGCCGCCCCAGCGTCTGCGCCGCATTCAAAACCAGCCCCAAGGGGAAAGTCCCCATCGAGGAGCATTTACATGAGCAGGAAAGGGGCCGTCTCGCGTCGCAGCAGCTTGGACATTTTTAGGTACGGAGGCCGAGGGCTTGGAGCGGCCGCTGTGTTTTGCAGCAGCGAGGGCCGGCGGCTGGATGTTGCCCTGCTGTTTTGGGTGAAAGATGGCAGATCTTTGCACGAGGCTGTGGGTGCTGCAGGTGAACCTCTGGCTGATGGCTCTGGTCACAGGTAGGCACGAACCATAGGCTTTGAGATTCAGAGCAAGGAAACACACGCCCAGGAGAAGGACCTTGCACAGTGCAAGATTTCACCCAGGTCTGACCTTAAATTATTAATTTTAAACTTTGCAACCACCTCTTTCAGTCCTGTTTTGTGCAGGAAACCAGCCCTGGATGCAGCAGAGCCAGGGAGGACCCACTGTGTTGATGGGTCAGGTTTTGGGATCGGTTTCGGGTTTTGTTTCCCGCTGAGGTGCAGACATGGGGTGCAGCTGCCTCGCCCCGAGCACGGGATCTTTGTGGCAGGAGCGCGGTGCTGAGCCGGTGCAGAGCCTGCCCGGCTGTGGGTGCAGGTGGCAGCGAAGAAGGACTGGGTTGTTGGGGTTTTTTTTATGGTTTGTTGCTCTCGGAGGTCTGAGGCCATGGCCAAGCCACCTCCCTTTGCTCCATGGGGTTCGGTGCCCAGGAGCGGGAAAGAAATGGGTGAAAAAAGGCTTTTGGGGGTGATCTGGGGAGCTCTGTGTGAACATCCCTGTGCTGTTCCCCTTTGCATCCCCATGGGGAAGCAGCAGCTAAACCCAGGACACATCTGTCCCCTTCCAACCCCTCAAAAACCTGCAGCAGATCTCACCCTCAGCTTGTGCCCTCAGGAGAAAGGGCATTGGAAGGGTTTCTGTTGGGTGGCCCCCTAAATCCAGCACGGGTTTGAGGTCGCGGGGTTTCACCCTGGCTCTCACGGTGGCTTTGTGGGAGGACAGGGGAAGCTCAGCCCACCCTGGTTGCAATGGAGATGTTGGCTTTGAGGGATGTGAGGGCTTTTGGGGTGCAGGATCAGCCTGGTCTTCATTTAGAAACACCAATAAAACATGGAGAGCAAAGCCCTACATCCCTCCTGGCCAACAGGACCACAGGACACAGATGCAAGGACAAAATGCATCTCCCCATCGCATTAAAACAACAAAATGAGGCTGGAGAGGACAGTTTGCTGCAGAATGCTGGGCCTGGGGGAGACCAGGCCTGGGAGAGGCTCCGAGGCAGCAAGAGGGGCCCACGACTGGGCCAGGAGGTCCCCGTGAGGCTGCAATTTGGGACAGAAAGGTCTTCAGCAGGGTGGCAAGGCTCAGTTTGGGGAATTGAATCTTCCTCCTTCTTCTTCTTCTTCTTCTGGGGGCAGGTTTGCAGCTGTCTCAGTGCATTGGGAGGTGGTGTGGCCCCCCACCTCCGTGCCAGCTTCCCCGCAGTGGGGTTTGGCCAATATTCGTCAAGAGGACGGAGCTGGGCACTGAAGCGGTGCAGTAAACAGGGCTGGTGCTTCCTGCCCAGCTGCAGCAAGAGGAACCGAGGCACTGGAGCTGCGGGCAGGGGCACCCATGGGTGCTGGGGGGTCCCCACCCTGCTCCCCTTCCTGCACCGCATCGCAGGTCCCAGAGCTCTGTCCAGGCCTTGTCCCAGGGTCTGCAAACCCACCCTGGCCATGGTGGGGCTACCATGGGAAGCCCCACTGGGGAAAGTGTTTCTGGTTGATTCAGATGGAAAGTGTGAGTAAAGAGGTGTGAGTCTGCCCGTACCCCTTCTGAGAGGTGCCAGCCTGGGGCACATGAACAGCAAAGGCAGGTGTCACTGGGACGTCAACCGGAAAGCAGCTTGGAGAGGAGATGGGATGGAAATAGAAGGGTTTGAACCCAAATCTCCACTGCTCTGTGTCACAGAGTCTCAGGATGTCAGGAGTTGGCAGGGCCCTGGAAAGCTCCCCCAGTGCAACCCCTGCCAGAGCAGGATCACCAGAGCAGTCACACAGGAACACGGCCAGGGCTTTGGGTGTCTCCACACAAGGAGACTCCACAACCTCTCTGGGCAGCCTGGGCCATGCTCTGGACCCTCACACTGACAAACTTTGGCCTCATCTTCAGCTTGAACCTCCTGTGCTCCAGCTCGGGACCATTGCCCCTTGTCCTGGCTTTGACCATCCCAGAGCAGAGCCTGGCTCCTTCCTCCTGACACTGCCCTTTCCCAATGGATCCCCAGGAATGAGGGCACCCCTCAGGCTCCTCTGCTCCAAGCTCCAGAGCCCCAGCTCCCTCAGCCGCTCCTCAGCAGGAGATGCTCCACTCCCCCCATCATCTTTGTGGCCCTGCTGGACTCTTTCAAGCAGTTCCTGTCCTTCTTGACCTGAGGGACCAGAACTGGACACTGAGTGGGGCTCCAGTTGACGTTCCCAACCACTCCATCCCATACGCAGTGGGTACCAATGTCCCACAGGACGGTGCCATTGGTGTGGGACATCCTGCATGGCCTTGTCCTACACGAACTCCTGGCCAACACCTCAGGCCCCTTCTCATGTCTTGCAGGTGGGATCTCAGCAGACACCAACAGCACCAGGAACAGCACAGGTAAGCTCTCATCGGGCCCTTCCCTGCCTGTGACCCATGTCCCTCGTGTCCCCGTTGGCTGTGCCATGCCACGGTCCCCTGCAGAGATGGGGATGTCCCACCATTAACCATGAACTCTGCCACCCAAACCAGCCCTCAAACTCACCAGCTCTGGGCCCAAAACACGGCAAAAATACCAAATACAGCAAAACACCAAAAATGTGGAAGCATGAGAGAAGCCAGCTGGGGAGATGGGGCTGTCCTAGCATAGGCTCCATGGTGCCTGTTAGCATACGGTGTAATTTCGGAGCTGGGACTAAGAAGATGCACATAGAGAGGGGTGGGGGCAGCAAAAACGTATTTGAGTGAAGCCTCGAAGTCGGAGTTTCCATTAAAAACACATTTTTGCCAAAAATCTCAGATTTCTCCCCTCAGACGATGATGATTCACCAAAACAAAGCTGAGTGCTCGGAAGCAGAGTAGTCCAGGAAAGCGGGAAGCTCTTGACTTGGGAGATGCTTCTGGGGGTATCTCATGGGAACAGCTTCCCAGGTGCCAGGTCCTTGCTCGCCGTGACCCCCTCCTTGTCCCCCGGCAGATGAGGGGTGCCCCATGGTGCAGCAGAACCCGCGCTACGTGATGGCCAAGAAGAACACGCTCGTCCACTTCATCTGCTACTCCCAGGACCCCCAGAACGTGCAGTGGTACAAATTAGCGGAGGACAGCGATGATCTCCAGGTGCTGGCCCACAACACCTCCCGCTACAGCGTCCAGAGGAAGCAGAAGTTCATCAACTTCACCATCTTCAGGATCGCCTACGAGGACAACGGCATCTACGTGTGCGACAGCAAGAACCTCACGGCGGAGAAGAAGGGGCCGCACTCGTGCGGGACGGAGCTCAGAGTCATTGGTGAGTGGGACGTCCCCGTCCTCCCTGCGCCCCTAAAGATGCTCTTGCCCCTTCATCATGCTCCTGTACCCCCCATGCTGGTGGGACCCCTTCAGACACAACCACAGATGCTCCATGGCACCGCAGAGGTTTCTTTGCTCATTGCCAACCAAACAGCAGTTTAACACCCCCAGTCTGCCCTGACACATCCATCCCACAGAAACACGTCCCAGGGACTGCATTCCCCCCATAAATCCGAATGTCCTTGGTCTGTGCTAGTGGTGGGTCCTGCCCAAGGCGTCCTATCCCAGAGCTGGTCCCTGATGCCACCCTTGAGGCAGTTTGCAATGCTCCCAAGGGGGAGGACACGTCACCCGTGTTCCCCTGTCCGCTCAGCTGACACACCAACCTGTGGCCACACCAAACTCGTCCCCGTACCCTGGGAACATGGCGTGGTGGTTGGACCTGGGGCTCTCCCTGTGCTGCTGCTCCCAGGTCACAGCAACATCCAGCAGATCCAGAGCAGGAACACCCTGAAAGACGCCATCATCATCATCCAGACCATCATGCTGGTCATCTTCATCACCATCCCCATGCTCCTCTTCCTCGACAGAGTAAGTGGCAGCATTTCCAGCAGTGGGGACATCCCCAGCTTTGCCGCAGGGGAAGTGTCCCTTTCCTTGCAGGTGCTGGGGTTGGGGCTGTCACACGGGAGTGTGGGCAGCTGAACTGGGGAAATAAGCATTTAAAATAATGTGTGGGGCTGTGTGGATTTGCCTGTGGGTGCTGACATCCAACCTGTGACGCTCCTCTCCACAGGGTGAAGGCAAGGAAAGTCCTGAAGAGGACCACACCTACGAGGTAATGTTGTGTTCATTACAGAAATACCTTTGTAATACCAACCTGAGCCATGAAACAGCGGGTTGTGTCCCCGCTGGGTGTCTGCCAGACACCCCCAGCCCTTGCAGGCGGGATCAGGGCATCCTCCTCCCAAGTGCTTGTTGCACATCAGCCGTAAAGAGCTTCTCGTAAAATCAACCCAAGCTCTGAGCACATCCAGGCACCCATCTCCATCGTCTGCCCTCTCAGGAGCTGCCCTGATCTATGGGGGAACTGGGAGATGGGTCCCAGCTTGGGGTTGCCAAGGGCAGATGAGTCCTGATGGGGGTAACTAGGGGAGATGGGTCCCAGCTTGGGGGTACCAAGGAGAGATGGGTCCCCACTGGGGGGTACCATGGGGAGATGGGTCCCTGCTGTGGGTACCAAGGGGAGATGAGCTGTGGATGGAGCCATGGTGCCCCTCCTGTGTCTCAACGTCCTTCTCCCTGCTCCAGGGCCTGGAGGTGGAGCAGATGGCCACCTACGAGGACATCACTCCTTTCCGGGACGTGAAGGCCAAGTGGACAGTTGGGGAGCACCCAGGTGAAGAGTGAGGGGTCCTGCGCCCACTGCCAGGCCAGCACCGGTGGCACAGCTCCCTGTCAGGACCTGCAGGGACAAGACCCCAGCCCCTGCCTTGACCCACGGCTCCGGCAGGCACCCTGGCCCCGAGCTGCAGCACCCATCCCTGCATGGAGCTCAGGTCCTGCTGCCCTCGGGTGCTCGCTTTGCCACATCCGGGCTGCGCCCACCAAGGCTGCCCTGCCCCATCTGCTGCTCTGACCTCCCCTCTGATGAACCCCTAAAGCCTACGTAGAAATTAGGAGCCACCTGCAATCCGTCCCCCCCAAACCCATAGCAAACTGGCCCCAAACCCTGGGCAGCCCCACATGAGCTCCTGCACGGTGAATGCAATGGAAATACCAGGGTGGGAGGTGGGTCTGCTCCAGCCCCACCATCCCTGGGAAGGACAGGACCAGGCACGACCACTCTCCGTGCTGCAAGGACCCTCCAGAGCAGCCAAGGGGAGCAGTACCATGGAGGTGTTATGAGAAGCGGATTTTGGGCCACTGTTTGGCTCTCAAGCCATGGACGTGTCCAAGCAGGCCAAGTTGAGTGGGTCTGAGATGGACAATTCTCCAGAAGGACCTCTTTCTCCCCAAAAACTACAGGAAAAGTTGGGGAGACAGCTCTCAACCCAGCAGGTCTTGCACAAGGCTTGCTCCAATCCAGGCAAGAGCTGGCCCACGTCACAAGGGTGTCCCCATGGTAAGGGACACGTGCGACCTCCGAACCTACGGGAAAGATGTAAATTGTGGGACACAAACTTCCAAGTGCTTTTTGAAGTCCTAATAAAATGGGTAAATTCACATCCTGCTCCGTCCAGGGGTGTCCCATAACCCCGGTGCTGGTGACGGTGGGATGGCCTGGGAATGAGGAGCAGCTTTTCATGGGTCCAGCTTAGCCAAAATCCAAACTTCACCCCCATCGGGGCCCTGAGCGCAGGCAGGGATGTGGACCCAAGAGGACCTCAGTGGTCCCAAGCTTGGGATGAGACAACACCGGGATCCAAAGCAGGAGAACAGGGCCACATCTGGTCTTGCAAGAGCAGCCCCAAAACATCTGGAGAGGAGCAGGGCAGCGCCAATTGGTTTTGTTAATGAGAACTGCTTTGGCACGGTGGCGGCAGCTGGGTTTGGGGTTGGATGTGCACCCAACACCAGGGCTCGTGGGGTCCGGAGGAGCACAATGTGGTGGGTTCAGGGTCCTGGCTGGACAAGGGGGTGATGAGGATGTGGTGGTTGAAGGTCTGTGACCCCCTCAGAGAGTCCAGGGCCCCTGCATCCCTATGGCTCACGACATTTGGGGCTCTGAGGAGAAGCAGGCAGCACCGCGCTGCTCCCCAGCGCAGAAAAGGGAGGGCAAAAGCGCAAGCAAACAGGGCTTTTCAGCGGGGAACAGGATGGGTCTTGTTTACCAGCAAACCGCCTTCATGGAAAACTGGAATTTGAGCTCAACAGCACAAACCCGGCATTTTAAGCTTGATTTTTTACTAGTTAAATAAAACCATCCCAAATTAGTCGCATGCACATGTATATAAACGTTACTTAAACATGTCCCACTTATAAAATCGGTTAATTAAAGAAAGGAGTATTCACAGCGAGAGAAGTCGAGCGGCTGCTCCCGGTTTCGCCAAGGTTTTCGGGCAAGCCGAGCTCATCCCTCATCCCCTTGTTTCCAGTTAGGAAATGGAAGAGAAAGGGGAGTTTTCCGCCCTCCCCAGCTCCCAACCCCGCTTTCTCAGCTCTGTGTAAACGTTTCGCTCAGCTGACTAAACCGAATCGGGCGAAAATAAGGAAGATTTGCAGTTTGCACCTGGAGAGGAAGCCAGCCATGTCAGAAGCGGTTTCGGAGAGCCCGGTTCCGCTCTGCCGCTTGGCTGCACTCTTTGCCATCTCTTTTGGCTTCCTTTAAGATGCCAGAAGCAAATAATTCTTTCTGTAGCGTTGGTGCTATATTTGGGATTCGTTTCGAAGGGGGCTAGAGATAGGGTTTGCTGTAATTCTATGCTGCGATGGGTTCGTATCTAAAGCACATTTAATGTAAATAAATGTATTTTGGTGTATGCAGTCCAGGGTCTGGATTTTGCCCTGGTTTGGGTCCACACCATCAGCAGGACGGGTCCTCTCCAGCCTCATTTTTAGCAATGGGTTCAGTAAAACTGAGCAGTTCTAGCTCCAGTAAATGAACCCCACCAATTCAAGCTGTAAAGCAATATTTACCTTCCCGGTGCGAGCTAACAGAGGTAACCAACCATCACATCAAATCCCCATCAACCACATCACTTTGCTGGGCAGGGATTTAGGGCCAGGATCCCCTGGTTGCAGCTCACCCCTCAGCCCAGGGGGGTCTTCTCCATACAACCCCTCCTTGGGGGGGTCCGGAGGACCCCAGGAGCAAAGCTGCTTCGCTTCTTTAGCCACTGCTGGGGATGCTCAGGGTAAAGGGATGGACATGGAACCACCCTGAAGAGAATTGAGGGTTTGGTTGGGTTTTTATTTCCCATTTCAAAAAAAAAAGAAAAGGAGCTTGGAAGTCACAGAGCGTGGGATGCTGCTTTGGGTCGCATCTGAAAGCTCCCAAACTGCCAAGCTGCTATTTGAGGGCGGCTTACGCAACCCGGCAGTCACGCACTGCCTTCCCCACGACGCTTCTGCCTCACTGAACACCCACAGATGATCGGGGACAAACCGAGCCCCCGGGGCACCGCGCGGTCTGGATCATCCCGGCATCTCCGCGCTTGGCCGCAGCATGAAAAGTGTTGATTTAGCACCATGGTTTTTACTAACCATGGAGAGCAGGGCAGCAGGACTTTGATGCATCATCATTAAGAGCTGGGGTGCCTGCTGGCCCTGCTCATCTCTGGCAAATATTGACATATTTAAACGGAACCCTGTGCAGAAAAACACCCCCAGGTGTTGGCTGCTATTGGGTGACGGGATACCTGATAGCCGCAGGACCCACTGTTCCCTCTTCGCCAGGGACTGACATTTACCCCGCGAGCAAACAGCCGGGGGTTCTCGGAAAGGACCCGGCCGTGTTTATTAACCACCCTCTGCTCCAGCCGCCAAACCGGAGCCACACCAGGACAGCAAACCCAGGGCCTGGGGAGTCAAACCACCACCCCTGAGCAGCCCCTGAACCCCAAGCCAAAACGGGGTGGTTGGGGGCAATCGGTGCCTTACAGGGAGCAGAAGTCCCACCAGCGTCCCCAGAATTGCCCATCCCAGGTTCTGTCTTGTTTTGCTCAAAAGCAGGGGTAGATGCGCTGTGGCCTCTCCTCTTCCCCATCTCCTCTACCTCCTTTCCACACCTCTGCTGGACCCAGAAATATTTCACATTTACATCTCAGGTGCAAGCAGGGAGATGCTCATAACCAGCTCTGCTCATGGCCCTGTCCAGCCGAGGATGGGAGAAACCTTCCAGAGCATCTGGATTTAGAGTGGGCAGACTGGTACCCAAACCCAGCCCCTTGTCACGCCGATGGCGAACCAGCTCGCCAAAACTGCTTCAGAACTTTTGGGAGGAATTGAAAGACGTTACTCGGCAGAAATCAGAATCACCTGACAAAAATAAAGGGGGAAACATCCCACGTGTTTCACGTCAGAGGTCTCCCAGTTTGACCAGTCAACCCAGTCAACCATGGGCCAAGGCTGCAGAGCCAGGCAGGAAAATCAGGCGGAGATGGCAAATTCCACCATGTACAAGCACCGACCTGATTTCGGATGGGTCCTACAATAATCAGGAAACTTTTATTTGCAATAAACAGCAGAATATGGCGAAATGGTTCAGCGCCGGTTTCATCCCTAGGCAAACAACCTCCCCAACCTTTACATCTATGTATAAATGACTACATTTAGGTAGCACCATTGCGAACACTTGTGCATTTATGCAGGGGGGAAGATATAGAGATGTTGTTGTGATCATGAACACATATATACATTTTAAACAGACCCCCTGCTATATAAGGGGTGGCTCAACAGTCACCTTTACCAGCCTAGATGAAAGGAGGAAACGTTCCCTGTCCAGCAACACCTGAGCAACTCAGCAGGCAGAAATGGCTCCAGGTATTTTAATTTATTTGGGTTTTAAAGGACTGCCTGTGCTGCCGCGTGCTTAGGGCGATGGGAGACGATGACGGGGCGGTGCTGTGGTGAGCTAAATTATAACGTGGCAACTTATAAACCAGCGAGAAAGAATATTAATCCATGAAGCAACTTAGGTGCTCTTCAGCCTGAACAGGGTGGAGAACGTGAAGAACAAGGTCAAGCCACAGTTATAATAGTTATTATTAACATAAATGTTGGCAGGGATATTAAAACTCATATTCAAAGCTTAAGAGGGGGATCGGGATGATGTCTAATGCATAGATCCAAGTCCTACAGGCTGCAGGGCATTCCTCCACTGGAAGGTATTTGTCTGAGATTAACTCTGTGGTCTCTCTAAGCACAGATGGATGCTTGTACGAATTAGGTGTTGGAAACCTTGAGGCTTGACAAAGACCACCAAATTCCACGGGTACGTCCCAGAGATAAAAAGCAGCTGGTGACAGCACAGGTAACGTCACCAGCTCTCAGCCTAGGGAAGGCAGAGGGAGGGGTTCACTCAGCGTGGCGTAAACCTCGGCTGTGGTGAGGTCCTCCCAGCCCCTCACCCTGTACTCACCATCCCCTGCAGTGAAGGGCAAGGCCTGCAGAAAAACATTAGGGGAAAACATAGGGACATGGTTGAGTTTCCATGGAGCAACAACGGCTCTTCAGCCAAGAAAACACAGCTCCTAACGCTGGGAGCAGTACAAGCCTCGAGGGCACGTCTAGTGAAAGGGGATGGGGTTTCGGTTGGTTTTGGGGAGGGTTAAACTCATCCACGGAGTCAAACAAGATGCTCAGGAAGATGAACTCTCAGCCAGCATGGACAGAAGAGGCTGGGAGTTAATTCCCAGGGCCTGCTGACACCGTTCCTCTCCGCTTTGCTGCAGGGTCGTGGTTTTCTCCTCTCCTCATTGCTGCCATCGTCCTGGGACTGCAGTGGCCACAGGAAGCTGCCACCTTCCCGGCCATGCCCCTTTCCAGCCTGTTTGCCAACGCTGTGCTGAGGGCCCAGCACCTTCACCTCCTGGCTGCTGAGACATACAAAGAGTTCGTAAGTGTGCAACGCCCCGGGGCATCTCCTCCACGTGGGCTCGATGGTTTCAGCACCATCAAGGGAGGTGGCACAGGGATTTTGCAATGTGACAGTCACCTGGCTGATCCTGAGTGTTTAAAACCATCCCGTTTCTGCTGTTGGCAGAAGAGCTGTCACTTTGGCAAGCGCTGTCCTCGGGGGTCATCTGCTCCTTGGGCATAAAGTGTGTTTTGGGTTCACCTTAGCACCTTGGCTTAGTGAGAGGAAGACGTTTAGATCCAGCATTTGGACTCCTGCTTCCCACCTGCCAGCCCCACACACAGACACCTCATAGCTCACATTTATTTCTTGTAAAGAATACCCATTCGGCACCGGGAAAGTGTCTTTGGTCTTCTCTCAGTGCACAGGCAACACACCTGAGCGTATCTGGGATGTCTCCACAGGAACGCACCTACATTCCAGAGGACCAGCGACACACCAACAAAAATTCTCAGGCATTTTGTTACTCAGAAACCATCCCTGCTCCCACAGGGAAGGACGATGCCCAGCAGAAATCGGTAAGTTCTCTCCCCTGGGCAAGCACAGACCTGTGTGGAGAGCAGGAATCGAGGGTTTCTATCTGCGAGCACTTCAGTGCTTCCTGAGCTATCATTCCTCCTCTTCCTTTTTTACTGGTTAAACCCTGCATGAAGAAAAAAAGGAGTTTCCTCCCCATATTTCCACCCCAAAGAGGAGAAATACCACTGTCTGCACAGGATGTGTGTTTGGGTGGTGCTCCACAGCTTGCAAACCTCTCTGTATCTTTGAAGCTGCAGGAGCAGTGGCACATCCCCGGGTCACCTTGGGGCTGTTTCAGAGGGTAACTCTACCAAATACCTCTTCTGCACAGCCTTAACCCATTTTTTGTTTGTTTTTTCATTTCAGGACATGGAGCTTCTTCGGTTCTCACTGGTCCTCATCCAGTCCTGGTTGACCCCGGTGCAATACCTAAGTAAGGTGTTCACAAACAATCTGGTTTTTGGCACCTCGGACAGAGTGTATGAAAAACTAAAGGACCTGGAAGAAGGGATCCAAGCTCTGATGAGGGTAAGTTGCAGCGTGTAGCTGCAATAACAGCTATAATAATAATAATT